CATAGGCAGTTTTCCCCCAATCTGACAATGGATTCTGTGTAGCAGCCCTTCCCTTTGATGTGTATATCCACCTTGCCTTAGGCGAATTTGTGTTAATAAATAGCAAGGAGTCCTGAGACAAGAGAACTTAGTTCCTTTAGCTAAGTCTTCTCTGACTCCCCAAGATGCCTTTCAAAATTATGTTTCATCTCTGGACTCTTGATTAATTTACACACAGTGCTTCTCCAGATTAATGAACCCTTCTAGATGCTGGATCAAGAACCCCAACATTATGGAAGCCCTGGCCATTTTCAATGGGATTGGATTTTGTCAAATGCTTTTCCTGTGCCACCTGTTACCTGTCATAGGATTTTTCTTCATTAGCCTGTTTATATTGTAGATTACATTGATTGATATTTGAATGTTGAACCAGCCTTGCATATATGGAATAAATTCCACTTGGTCATGGTATATGCTTTTTTATACATTGTCAGGTTAAGTTTTTTTTTTTTTTGCGATTTTGCATCTAAATTCTTGAGAAATATTGGTCGGTAGTTTTGTTTTTGTCTGATTTTGCTGTCAGAGTAATACTGGTTTTATAAAATAAACTGTAAAGTGTTCCATCACCTCCTATTTTCTGAAAGAGATTATGTAAAATTGCCATTAATTTCCTTAAATATTTGGTAGACATTTCCAATGAAATCATCGGGGCCTGGAGATTCCTTATTTTGGTTAAAGTACAAACTGGATTTCTTTAATGGTTTCTTTAAAAGACTAACCAGATTATCTAGCTCATTCTGGTTGAGTTTGGGTGTTTTATGGTTTTCCTCTTTGAGAAATTTATAGTGTATGAATTATTTTATACTTGGGATTTAACTATAGATTTGTTAATCATGGATCTAAACCTTTTCTGAATACAATGTTGGGGGGTTGGTTTGTTTTTCCTTCTTCCACCCCAAATCTCTGATTTTATTGGTTAAACTAGGGGTCCAGTGCACAAATTTGTGTACCTTGAAAGGAACTTGGCCCATCCTCTGCACTCCCACCAGGACCCACCCACTGTGGCCCCTGGTCCCCTCTCTGCCACCCCCCCCAGAGTTACAGCCCCCCAGCAGCAGCGATTGCCAAATCCTGGGGCTGAGGGAGCCAGACCCATCACCGTGCTCCCCCCGCCCCCCATGCAGTCCCACAGTCGCTGGCCCTGCTCACACCTGCTGATGGCATGGAGTGATTGGGGCTGGCGCCAGCAGCGAGATTGGGGCCACCACCGTCAGCAGGTGCGGGAGGCAGCTGCTGGCCCCGATCACCCCTCAGGAGCAGGGGAAGGTGGAGAAGCCCTCAGGGGCAATCGGGGCGGCAGCCACTGCTCACACCCACTGACAGCAACAAGCGCAAGGCCTGCCATGTTCCACTCGCATCCCCTGGTGGTCAGCACACGTCATAGCAACCAGTCATTTGGTTGGTTGTTCTGCAGTTCGGTCTATTTGCATATTCGGGGAATGAATATATATATATATATATGTATTTGCAGATTAAAGGTAAATGACTCAATTTTTATGCTACCAAAATCCTAAGATTATAACAAGTGTTTTACTTGAAATCATATATGGAGTCTAGAAAGTGAAAACCTTCTTCAATAAAGTATTTAAACTTGTATTCAAATTTGTATTTTTATGTTTATAGCTGAATTGGTCAGGGATAATATGGAAGACACAAATGAAGTATTTTGAATAGGAGATCTGGAGCAGGGAATTGATTATACAAATGGTAAAAAACTAAAAGAGCAAAGAGGCAATTATAAAGTAATCCAAATATTAATAATTGCATGAACATAATTTCTCAGTTCCATCCATGGCTGCAGAACAAAAGGGAAGACATGTTACAAAAACCTGGGTGTGACGAGAACACGTGGCTGGTGCCGGGACCTCCAAGGTGTTGTGCTCAGGGTGCTGGGGGCATTAGGCGCTGGGGCGCCGAAACACTCTGGACACCAATCTGTCTGTCAAGTGATAACTACAGAACAAGAGCGACAAGCAATCAGTGATGCAGTAACCCATTTCAGAGAAGACATCAAGAGCCACTGTTGAATAGACATAAACCTGAAATAATACAGAATTCACAACAAAGATGTAGATGGACAAGAGATAATTCATCTGGAAAGTTACAAATTGAAAGTGAATGCAGATGGTGACTCATACTCATCATCAGAAAAATCCATGTTTCTCGCATTCCCTCTCTCCGTTCCTCTCTCTCAAAATCAATTAAAAGAAAAACTATATTAACCGTTTGGCTGCTGACGTATTTTTTCGGACATATGCCAAAACTGCGGCACTAATTGCGCGTGTATGGGAAAAAATGTAAAACACTTTTTATACAATAAACTCACTTGTATTGCTTTGCAACAACAAAAATTAAAAAATACCAATTGTTTACATAAATTTGTTTTAAATAAGAAGAGCGCGATAGCGCTCCTTAGCAGTCAAACGGTTAAGGAAATGTATGTACCCATTTTACATACCTAGCATCCAGGAGTGTTTCCTTTCATGTCTTTGGGTTGTTTTGAAGAATGTCTTTGTTTGTGGTCTTTATTTTATAGAGTACAGTGGGTAGCTTAGTGCCTGCAGCAATAACACTGCAAACTGCAGTAAATCAAATTCACTTCATTTATAATGCTTCTGAGAAAAAGTTAGAGAAAAACATAAATCTTATTTCCTTTATAGCAAGTAAAATTTCAGATTGTGTTTAATATGATACTCAACAGGAAAAAAGGCCGGTTGTTTACACTGACCGGTAGTAAAAGCTGTCTTTTATCTTGTTAGAGGTTCTTGACTATAGTACCACAATGTTCCCCGCTTCTAAGGACAACCAGACTCTTCCATTCGACTGTATTCAGATTTTACTTGAGAGTCACTTTCTGGGTGAGCTTGTCATAGCATTACACAGAGCACCCCTATAACTTTCTCTTTGAATTGAAATCAAGTGCTGCTATCTGCTGAGTGGAAATTAACAGTGCATGCAGTGTGCCATCTAAAAAACACCCATTATTAACTTTATTCCTTTCGAAAACATAGGTCTGAAGCGAAAACAAAAAAACAGTTTTGCCTATTGTAATTAAGTCACAATAATCTTCCATGATTTGGGACTGACTTGTGTTTTCATTATAGAAATTCAAAATGATATCATTTAATGTGGCTTATGAAAATGTCAATTACCTAAGGAGCTTCCAAACTTTCTAAAAATGGGATCCAATCAACTGAGTGACTCTTAAATGATATGGGGAAAGAGAAATTTAATTCTATGATCTAGAAAAGCCATCTGAGTATGCTGTTTATATGTTGTCTTTTTAGTCCCAGTGTTTGAATACCATAATGGAAGACATCTAACTATAAGACAATGGCAAACATACTGTGGCTTTTTATATTTGAGTTAAATTTTTAAAAGCCCTGGCTTCATAAATGTTCCCTAAAGAAATTTTTCATCTTTTTAAAAATTTGTCAACATTTCAAATAAAAACTACCAAATTTCTAGCAATAGTCTATGTGACAACTGTATAAATTATACTTCCAAACTTTCAGAAAGTAACTCCTGAATGAAGACAACACTCAAATGGAAGTTTCTCTGGTTTATCTACTAGAGTAAAAATTGTATATTTTTGCTCAAAAGTCTCTAATTTGACTGAGTAAAATATAGCTGTCCTTTTCCTCAACATAAACAACAGCTTTTCTAAGATAAGATAAAAAAGCCTGAAGTTTTGTAGCAAAAACTGCCAATCTTGTCCTTTGCAGTTAAAGTGGTTAGTGTTGACTAAAGGAATGGGAAGACTCTAGTGAAAAGAGGGCAATATAATGTACACTTTTTTCCAAACATGTAAATGGAACAAAAGGTGCAATAGTTTAAAAATGCCAGAAATAAGCAAACCAGTGAGGTATTCTTTGTTGACACCCCATATTATAGTATTTTTTCAAGCACATTTGGCTATACTGTAAGAAAGTTAGTTATTGCAGCCAAAAGTTAATCAGATATGATAAAAAGTTCCTCCAGCAAAAGCCATGTTTGCAAATGAGCTATCTCAATCCTGATTATTCATCTGTTAAAACGGCACATTCATGTCACAGCAATTGAAGACATAAACTGAAATTGGGTCACTGATTCTGACTTCCTCTTTGATTAGCTCTTCACAGGCCTTCTCAAAATCTATATATATAAAAGCCTAAGCGACCATTAGGACTGAACCACCAGAATGACCAGTCAACCAGTCACTATGTCATGCACTGACCACTAGGGGGCAGACACTCGATGCAGGAGCTTCCCCCTGGTGGTTAGTGCACTCCCACAGCCAACCTCCCATGGCCCCTCCCCCCAGCTGGCCGGGACCCGATAGGCCTCGATCCAGCCAGGCCGACGGACCCCACCCATACACAAATTCATGCACCAGGATTCTACTTATTTAGTGAAAAGTTACTCAAAGAGCACTTAAATACAACCTTTCAAAAATCACACAACAGCCCTGACCGGTTTGGCTCAGTAGATAGAGCTTTGGCCTGCAGACTGAAGGGTCCCAGGTTTGAGTCTAGTCAAGGGCATGTACCTTGGTTGTGGGCACATCCCCAGTAGAGGGTGTGCAGGAGGCAGCTGATTGATGTTTCTCTTTCATCAATGTTTCTGACTCTCTATCCCTCTCCCTTCCTCTCTGTAAAAAAAAATCAATAAAACATTTTTTTAAAATCACACAACATATTCATTCATGCAGTAAGTCATCGGTGGATGTTCGGATAATGAAAATCTAGTATAACTCATATCTTAAAAACTCTCCTCTTTCTCCATTAGAATAATATGCATTGGAAAGCTAAGTTCCAAACATTTCCTCTAACTGAAGATAGTGAAGTTTAGTGCAAGCCACCTAGCTACAACTTTTTGAATTTTACAGAATGTTGACCCTTGATGACGTAAAACTTTTATTTGAAAGACATTATATTTTCAAAACCCAAACTGTCCCAATTTAATTTTCAAAATAAGAATTGTTCCATGTTTTCAGTTTATTGCCATTCACAACACATTTTATAAAATAACCTGGTAGACTTCCACTTCAACATCTTCACAGTACAAGAAAGTGATTGCTATTGAGTATATCTAAAGCCAGCCAGTATTTTGAGTATAGGACAGAATATTTTTGCGGTTCTTCCTACAAAATGTTGGCACATTCATTAAATGCCCATGTTATAAAAACCACTTAGTATCAATTCCTATCCTTCAGTATATTTTCATATCTACATAGCATCACATTAAATGTTAATAGGCAAAAGAGTAAAAGGATCTAAAAACATTTCAGTTTTTAATGATTTAAAACCAACTAGCAAAAATCTTTCCTCCAAATATTTTTATATGTAATTTTCCGTCCATTACCACAATAACAAAGAGCTATTATACTTTAAAAAGAAGCTAAAGAAAAATTTCACTTTTCCTTTCAAACATGATTTCTTAGCTATTAAATATAGAGGTAAAACTTTACATATGGGTTTAAATTGGGGTGGGTGAGAAGACGAGTCATAAGTAAAAACATCAAGTTTATGTCAGTAGTACAAATGTCTCCTTTAGGAAAGAAAGTAGAAATTTTGATTCAAAAATTCTAAAATATTTTGTCATTACAAGAAACGTGTATTTTTTCTGGGGTTCTGGGGGCGATGGTGGGTTGGTAGGTGTGGCTCCTGAAATACCTTTTCACTTCCCTTAACAAGACTCTGGCGGAGGTGTCTGCACAGCTGTGGGCAGAGAGCAGCCAGAGAGGAGGGATCACAGGCCTGAGGGGAGGAGGGCAAAAAGGTTGCCAGGCGGCTGCCTTGGTTTAGACCGGCTCCTGCTACTGTCGCCTCCCCATTGTCCTCTTCTCCCCCCAGAGCCCGGGACACCACAGCCACCGCTGCCTAATAACATCATCTATTAGCGTACCCTATTGATTTTCACAAAATCCATAATAAAGGAACAACAGGTTAGGCAAAAGATCTTTTTTTCCAACATTTGCTCAGATTTGTGAATTAGCGCCTGCAAAAACACCTCCAAGAATTATCCTCTCTCCAATCAGGGTTCTAAACTAACTGCCTTTCAGCATCCCTCCCAATTTACAAACTTACAGAGAATTGTTAAACTTATAGAATGCTTTTGAGGATGAAGTCTTTCAACTCAATGTATTTTCCAGATAAAGTCCCCCCATTTAAGTAGTAAAGCTGTTCTTCAAACATTTTTAATCTTACTTTAACATTTATTTTCAATATATTTCCTTGTCACCTTAAAAGAAGATGAGGTATCACTAAACGGTCTCCTAACTTCCTGGTCTCCCAGACCTGGCAGCTGACCGGGGGCCGCAGACACAGCCTGGGCCCCAGCTCCGATTCTGGGCAACTTGGGCCACACTCTGAGTCTCAACACAAGGGTGACACCACCTGCTCTGTGTCCCTTTGTTTTAAAGCCCAATAGAGTTACCATAATATTCCCAAGTACCTGTAGATTATAAATTACCATGCAAATGCAAAGGATTGCTGTCATAAGCCCCAACTGGCTTGTTCCTGATAACAAAGTCTAGATATTTCTTAGAAAGTATATGTTCTTTGCCGAGACGTGTGTTATGGTTCTGACCCTTCTGTTACCTACTATTCTCCAGTTGTCATTTTGTCTCCTGCTTCAAATTATGCTTCCAAGTGCACCCGGCTTGAGATTCAGTTTGTCTCTCCTACCGTCTAGATGTCTGACCTTTGTAGAGGTGAAAACTAAAACCTAAAGATCTCTGTTCCTTTAGTAAATGTGGTATCATCATTACTCACTTCAAAAGAACGATTCCCTAAGTAGGTGATGCATCAGAATCACCGAGGCAGCATTTTAGGAGAGCAATTTAGTATGTCCGGAGTAGGAACCAGAAAAGCTCTTTCTCAAAAGCTCCCTCAAGTAATCTCAATAATCGATGGTTCAGGTTTTGGGACTCACTGTTTTGCCTACAATTTCTTCTCCAGAATGTTAGCAGCTGCTAGTTAGTTTTCAGGATAAAAATTTCTCCTCGTGCTAGTCACAAGCACACTCAAAGCAGACTGCCCTCAGTCTACGCTCAGATCCATAGGGAACTAGTCATTATAATCCTTTGCAATAAAATTTTAAAATGACTTCAGAGCTAAGATAATGCATTGAAGCTTTAAGGTGTGTGGATCTATACTAACAGGACAACTGTTCCTGCTTTACTTGTAGTTAGCACTTCATAGTAAACATGAAGACCATCTTACTACAGCTACCACTAAGTAAAGGCAGGCAGAACTCCTGCCAATAACAGGAAAATGGTTAACTAGCTAATCAGTATTACTAAGAAAATGTTCCAGCAGACACAAATGAAAAATGAAAGGTATTTTACAAAACCACTCAGCTTCCTGTAGAAACCCAAAGAAGTCTACCATAAAGGGGAAAGTTGACCAAAACTACGGTTGTTTAAAAATATGTTCACTTAACTGTGAAAATATGTGTCAAATAGGTACAGTTTTATCCTTGAGGAGGTTTAATAGGCATAAACGGAATTCAGTTTTCGTTTATTCTATCCAAATAGGTGTGGAAAGGACACGAAATATTTGGTATAATATAGTTCTAAACACCATCCCCTCCAAATTTAATACAAAAGCCACATTTGGATTTCCTAGGGGTCCAAGTGTGTCTAGGCACTGCGGAACGTTGTCATGTCCTTTGGTTCTCTGCTGGGGACACACCAGTCATCAGCTTCATGGATGGTTTTGTAATGCTTCCAGGCAGCTTTGTTATACACTGGGAGTTTTTCTATTGATTCTGTTGACAGAGCCTGAAAGAAAAGCAGGACCCAAGTCTGGCATGTTTTTAGAATCCAGTATTTAAGAAAACATACGGTGGCAAAAAGATGACTACATATTAAACAATACAATATTGGCTATGAATTTTATTCATCAGAACACTGTCCCCACACGTTTTTAAGTCGTGTACATACTTGAAACGTATTATTGACTGAGTCTATGGCACTGCCTGGTATGCACGTTGACTGAATTTGTTGCTTGCGGTAATTGTCCAGGCAGCCTGAATGCCACTGGGTTGAAATTTTACACAAGTCTAAGACATGACCCAGAACAGAAGTTGGTTCATTTAAAAGTCATGTAAGTATAAAAGCACAAAAATTGACATATGTACCTTAATATACAATGGTACAATCACTTAATGAACTCTATTTTAATTATTTATTAGAATACATTTTTTCAGTATAGTCACTATACTTTAAAAAATTCAACATAATATTATTATCAATAAATATAAAACTATGTTTAGGCCTCTTGGCTTTCGCATGAACCATTCTTGGCCCTGGGTTTGACCCTCTGTCTTTTCCTCCTGCCACTAGCACCACCAATTTCGTTACAGTACATGTGTTTCTGCATCATGCATAAGTTCATGTTTCCAACATATCATTGCATTAATTCACTATTCTTTTTACCTTCATGTAAATTACTGGAACTTGAAATAAACTATGTTCCTCATTATCTTCTTCAATAGAATTTCACACTTAATTTTACATAGGCATTCCCCAAGATGTAAAAAAATATTGAACTATAAATTTCATTCTAATAATGCTAAGGAAGGTATTTAACATTGATGATTTTAATAAGACTTCTTGTCATCTATTTTTTCCAAAATGGAACTAAAACCCTTACACCTATATATTCTCTTTGTGCCAGAAATGCTAGCACCACTTGATCTTATAGACTGGATCAAAGATGTTACATTTAATGATAAAAATATTGCCTTCATGTTGCCCTTTTTAAGTTCCTTACAATTGAGATGGCTTAAAAAAGGAGAAGAGAAAGAATTATTATCTTGAAAGAATTTAACCTTTTCAGATAAATGTATTTTTTCCAATATAGTCTTCAGCATTTCCTGTAAAACAGGTGCCATCTAGTGGCCAGAATAAGAAACTAGAGCCACTAAATAGGTACCAATATTTTTCACCAATTCAGTGGATTGATGGGGCTCAGTGTTCTCCATCCCTGTACAATATACTGATCTCTGCATAAACACAGAGAACATCCAAGACCAATAGGCTCAGTGCCTCTGCTCCCACCAAGTGAGCTACAGGCTTACCAAGAGTCTCCTGTGCTTGTTCCCAAATCTGTTTATGCCATGTTATTTGTCATTGTAAATACATAATCCAATCAGGTATTACTTAAAGCAGTGGTTCTCAACCTTCCTAATGCTGCGACCCTTTAATACAGCTCCTCATGTTGTGGTGACCCCCAATTTCATTGTTACAAATTGAACATAATTAAAGCATAGCGATTAATCACAAAACAGTATGTAATTATATATGTGTTTTCCGATGGTCTTAGGCGACCCCTGTGAATGGGTCGTTCGACCCCAAAGGGGTCGCGACCCACAGGTTGAGAACCGCTGACTTAAAGTATTGCCAAAGTGGGGAAGGGTTCTTTGAAAATTAAGATGAATATTTTGGAAAAACTCATGAAGGAAAGTCACATAAAAATTGCTGTCAAATCAGAGTCAGAAGACAGTTTTAAAGGACTGCATACAAATAAAAAAGGATTATGCACTTGGTTGTTTCTTTTTTAAAATAAACTTCAAAAAATTGCCCTGTACACCTTCTGCAAGGAAGATACTGAAACTGCAGACCCAAAGAAAGGTCTTGGGCAATAGATCAAAAGATCAATGCCCATGCATGAGTTTTATGTTAAAATTAAATTTATAAGACAAAACTTTTTATGATTCCCCACTTGAATCCAACTTTTTAAAATTAAAAACCATAGTCCTGATCATTACATATAAGCATTTCTTTTCCTACCGTCAAGGAGATCATTTGTCAAAAAAGATGAGGTCCCATATTAAAAACTATATATGTCTATTTAAATAGCATGAATTAGAGGAAATTTTCATTACATTATTGTTAAATATTGGCATCTTTTCCTCTTATCAAAAGAAGTCTCATTCACTCAAGAAAGCTGTAGTTACTACCTTAATGAAGATCACTGCATCTGTCCCATAGCCCTCGAGGGAATACAGCTTCAGGTCTCCTTGGAAGTACTGAGCATAAAGACGGGAGATGGGCAATCCATAGCCAAAACCAGCCTGTTGTGTGAGGAAAATGAAATTCTGAAATTCTATGCTACTGAGTATCCCAGGCTATCAGAAATGCTAATACCTAAGTATTTCGAAAAATCAGGCTGGAGCCCAGCTGAGTCCTGCATTAGTCCTCCCCTCCCGTCACTGGAAGTCTTCATTCTTCTTTCTACTATAAAATGATTTGGGGAGAAGGGATCTGAAAAAGCATGTTGCTTTTCTTCGTTGGCCTGCTCTACAGTATCCCAATACTGCTTTGGCAATATCATATAAAACATGTTCTCCCTTTTAGCAAGAGTATAAAAAGCCTTGTGCGGCCTATCAGATATATCTTGTGACTTCATACCATGAACTTCCAGCCTGTGTTCTGAATCTGGAGGGATCCATAACAGCTCTGCTTTCTTAATTCTCACAGGTCACTTCCCTGCTTACAAATCTTCAAAGCACAGCCCCTCCCCCACCCGTTGGCTTGAAATAAAACCCAAGCTTCTACAAAGAGCTTTCAAGGCCTGATAAGGTCAGTCTCTGCCTCCCACTTTCCAGTCCAGCTGAACTAAATCTCCTGCTCTCAAATTCCTCAAATATACGCTCTTTTTTATCTTCCTGTCTTTGTTCATCCTGTTCCCACTGGCGAATGGCCTTCTTTACCTGGATAAATACCACCAATTCTTTAATACAAGCAAAACATTTAGATAAATGTAAAAACGGTTTTTATCACCAAATGACATGTTCAATGGCATTCCATATAACACTTCTGTTGAGAGCTTATGTGGATTCAGCAATCAGGCTATTCACAAACCCAGGCGCCAGCTTCATCTATCTCCACCACTATTCCTTGATTTTACTAACCGGAGTGTCTATTCACCCCTCCAAATCAACTCCCTGTTCTCCACACGTCTCCTTGCCCTGGGAGGCTGGCCTGAATGGTGATGGCCATGGATTCCCCATCCTCTGCCTCCAGGGGGTCCAGCCAATGGGGAGCCCAGGAGGAGTGCAGAGGGAGTCAAGTCAGGGTATTCACTCCCCTAGTTCCTTCTGCCCGAGGTTGCTTCCTGTGGGCAGATGGGCTCCTTGTTACTAAGCAGCTGCTCTGCAACCTTCCCCTTTTCTGGGTCTGCTGGCTTCTCCTCCGTCTCCCTTTGATTCTGGGTGGTGACAGCTCTACTGCTGCTGGCCCTGGATTCCTGTACTCTCCCTCCTCATAGTTCTGTAATCTGTCTTTTTGTAAATAAGCCTTCCTCAAATTATCATAATTTGAATGAGCTCTCTTTTCTGTTGGGACACTGACTAGTACATTAATTAGTTCCAGATATGGCAGGTGGCTCAGGATGCCACGGCCTGACCTCTCCCTCAGCCACACCTACAGACTTGTGGGGCTTCCCCTGGAGAAAATCACAGACAAGAAAGCCAGCATGGGCCTGGCCCACTGCTGGATCTGCACTGGATGCTGGCACCAGCCAGAAGTGGACTGCCCTTTCACCACAACCTCTCCCAGGGCAGGAGCAAGTCCTACCCGTGGGAGAACTTGAGGTGCAGCACCTCCATGCATTCACAGGTGGCAAACAGGCTGGACAAAATGCAACTGGATAGCTAGCTGATGACAAGGAGATCTGGAAGAGAAATGCGTGGTCTTCTCAGTGGGTTGACAGGGTGAAGATATTCCACCATGAAGGTGTCCGTACTACATTCATTATATTCACACGGATGAAACCCTCAGGAGTCAGGCAGACAAGATGGCCACTCCGGTGCCGTCAGGCAGTCTTTCTCCAGCCGCCCCAGGACTTGCTTACGGGGTCCACTTACAAAGTGGTCATGGCCTCGGGAAGAAGGCTCAAAAAGAGCTTAACAACAGTCTTCCCTTAGTAATAACAAGGCTTCCCGCTGTGTAGCTCACAGGGGAGCCTGTGCCATGTCAGGCCTTTTATTTTCTTAAAAATTCACATAAATTCTGCATCCTAAACAACGAACACTTATAGAGCACTGACTTTGTGCCAGGCACTATCAAAGGTATTTTTACATACATTAAATGTCAGCCCTTACAATAACTTGATTTTTAAAGTTGAAGAAACTAGGGTATTAAAAGGTCCATAATTTTCGCAAAGCGACACAGCTAAAATGTAGTGAAGTCAGGAACGGAACCAGACAGTTTGGATCTGCAATCTGGACTGACATGCTATGCTGCTCTCTAAAAACATTCTACAGTATTTGTTTACTACAAAAGCAATCTATCCCTTCTCTCCCCTGGTTTCTAGAGTAAAATTAGACTCTTAGAAGCTGCTCATGTTTATTATTTGACCTCATCTGCCCCAGGGCACATGACTGCCTCCTCCAGTCA